ATTAGAGACTCAAAGATGATTAACTTAGTACAAAAAAAAGTTTTCTTTGGACAATCACTAGAAAATTTCTATTTTCACATCTATAGTAATTTATATATAGAACCGTGTCACGTTTCACTATGATCATTCTTTAGTTAACTGGAGAATCATCAATTAAATATATAAATATTTAGGCTAATATTTATTAAAATCGCTGCATATAAATTAGCAACAATTTATTGTGTCATAACTTTAGTTATTTGTAAATAAGTAAATTGAAATTAAAAATGATCATGATTGCAATCTGAAAACATTTATCATATATACACTAGTATAGCATATATTATTATATAACCAAATTAACACATTTATTAAGAAATTAATTACAATACTATATATGCTAAAATTCCTCAACACCACAATTCTTAAATTATTATATATAATTTAATTCTTTTACTTTAACTATAACCAAACACAAGGCTAAACTATTTATAAAATTTTTTTAAAAAATGCAAACAAATAAAGTTGCTATACTATAAGAAATTTATAATGCATATTGAAAATATATACAATGTTGGCGTGTATACAAAATTCTTAAAATTCATTAGAGTTAGAGTCTAGTAATAAATATTAAAATTGTTTAACAAAAACTTTTTATTGAAGTACAAAAGTGATTTTCTATACTAATTTTTGAGCCAAGAGCAATTTTTGGCAGAACGAACATTTATTTTGAATCTCTCTAATCTTAAAATATGGTTTGTAGTTCAGAAGATCTGCATCACTAATCTTGTATATATTTTTAATATGCATTTATAATATTCAGATTTCTGAAGTTTTCTAAACTTATTCTTATCAGATCTTTTAATCTCTACCAAACTGAATTTTCTGATTCTTTAATTTTCATATAAGTATGAGTTTATTGTTCTCATTTTTGAAAACTGTCTTCAATTTATTTTTCTAACATATACTTATTGATCTACTCTTTCCTTAATATATTTATTTCTCAAGACCATTCTCTAAAGCAATTATCACAATGTCTTTTATCTCCTGATAAAGTTGATTCAACTGTTATCAAATGTGATGCTGGATATAAAAGCATTAGAATAAAAAGTATGACTTGTTCATATGATTATTAAAATTTGAAAACACTAATCTAAAAAAGTAAAGCAATTGATGACTAGTTAGCTAATAAAGAAGAGTGTAATAAAACTAAAATAGGAGTAATCCTTGTTGAGGCTGTGTTAAAATGTATGTTAAATTTTTGAAATAACTTCAAAATCATAAAGCAAAAAGATGTTTGAAATCATAAAGAAAAAAGAAGTTCAAAATCATAAGGAAAAAGAAGTTCAAAATCATAAGAAAAAAAGAAGAATATTAAAATTAAGGAAAAATTAAATATTTTTAAAGCAAAATATTGCTATTTTAGCTCCTACTTTAATAAATTAGTTATTGTTATATGTTAAATTAAATGAAATAGAAGTTGATGGAATTTTTTTTGTAAAAAAAAATATGATGTGTTTAAAATCTATAAAAAAAAGTTTTTAAATCAATAAAAATAAATTTATTAGATTAGTAATACTTGATTAGCAAACTATAATTTTAATTAAATAAAATAAAATTTATTTAACAATCAAAATTAACTATTTGTAAAAAAATCCTTCTGCTTATTGATTATTTTTACTTGTCTAAAACTTATTTTTAAATTATATAAATTCTGTTTTATAAATAATATATTTAATTGTTATAATGGGTCAGAATGATTTTACATTCCAAGATAAATCAGAAGATACTTCTGATAGTATATTAGAATATAATTCAGATTCTATTTCTGTTATGCCTTTTGAATCTTCAGCTTTATATAATAAATATTCATTATTGTCTCTTAATTTTAAATATACTACTTTATTATATACTTCTGAATCTTTATATAGTTCTGAACCACTTACTTTAGATAAACCTAAAAATCTTATTTCTCATTAGATAGTTTCACTTATTCAGATTCTCCTAATATTAATTTTTCTCAAAATACTAAAAAACACAAACCAGTTTTTGCTACATCTAATAAAACTCATAAAAAAAGATAAATTTATAAAAAAAGCAACAATATGCTTAGTTTCAGTTAAAAAAGATGAAAAAATAGAACTATATAAAGAAACTTTTGCACTTTTTACTAGTACTAGTATACTCAAAGCTCATCTACATACAGTATATTATTTGTCTAAAAAGGTTCATTATTGTCATTGTCAGGCATATCTAAACAGCCAGTTTCTAAAAAACCTATTCATGTAGCTCAAAATGATTCTACACAACTCACATTATTAGATATAATAACAAAACTATCATCATTATCTTCTAAAAAAAAGGATAGATTAATATCTAAACTTTTGGCATAGTTGATTGATGATATGTTGGCATTTAATATAATGAAAAATGATAAATTTTACGATTTTGTATATAAGGCTAAACTCTACTATCAAATTCTATGTCAAGATATATTAAAAAAAAATTCATGATATAGTTAACTTTGGAGAAAATAAAATACTTAACCTTTTTTAAACAATTATGAATATATTTTCATTTATAACTGATTTTTGAACCAGTGTATATAAACTATATATTGAAATCATAGCCTATTGGCTTGATTCTGATTTTCATTTAAATCAAATACTTATAATTATTGAAGAATTTTCTTATTCCCACACTAGTGAACATATTGAAGATTGTTTGAGACGTAAGTTTGCCAAATGGAATATTTTAAAAAAATGTATTGATGAACAACAGACAATGTTTCATTGATGGTTAAAGCAATAACTAATCTTGGTGTAATTCATATTCATTGTATAGTACACACTCTTAAACTTTCAATTACTAATTCTTTAAAATCTAGTAAAGTAACAAGATTAATCAATAAATAGTTAATAGAAATAAATACAGAGAAATGCTAAAAAATGCACAAGAAGAAATAAATAAAAAAATAATTGTACTACAAGTTATGGACAACTTTTAGAACCAATGGCTACAATGTCCCTTATGCGTTAAAATTTTGTATTTGTACTATTAGAGTATCTGTTATTACTCTATATATCAATCTAATTACTTGTAAAAAAATAGTTCAAAATGCTAATAGAGAAATTCGTAAAGATAAAAAAAATTAGAGACTTTACTATTAAATAAAGGAGAATTATTAGATCTTAAAGAACTTATTAGTTTATTAGAACTCTTTGCCTGTACAATATGTCTAATGAGTAGTAATACATATCGCACACTTTTTCTTATACTTCCAACAATTGCAATCCTTCAAAAATACTTGTTTAAATTAGAAAAAATCCTTACTCATCAAGTTATTTATGATGTTAGAGATGAAATTGAGCTTAATATAGCTGATCAATAAAAAGATTCAGAAATAAAAGAATATTTAGCTGCAATCTTAGATCCTTGTTTTAAAAATCTAAAATTCATGCCAGAAAAATTTGAAGAAACAAAACAATACCTTAAACAAAAAATAATAGCATTAGATGAGAATGAATATTTAGAGAAACAACCAACAGTAAAATCATTTTCAAATTTAATATCTTTTTTTAATAATACTACTATTATCAAAAAATCTTTTCTAATCAATACAGAATTGAAACATATTTTGATATCTCTCAAATAGCACTATATGATCTTAACAATTCAGAATATAAAACTGAAAACCCACTTTTGTGGTAGCAATTATACTCAAAAACATTACTCTTATTTGTACAACTAGCCCATTAGTATCTTTCAATCTCTGCAACTTCTGTTCCTTCTGAACGTTTATTTTTAATAGCCAGAAATGTGTTAACTGATAAAAGAAATAGATTACTTCCTGAAACTGTTCATGATCTAGTTTTTTTAAAAGAAAATAATAAGAATTTCAATATTTATCCAGATCTTGAATAGGCACACCTAAATAAGCTTCAGTATAAATGAAATTATAAATATATTCATAGTTTATAATGAATCTATATTTTTAAATGCTAAGTACATGTTTTAAATAAAAGATTAAATATTAGACCTATTACAGTGCCCATTATAGTTAACTTTGCTAAATACAATGTTTCGTTTAAAACTTTGAAATATAAAGTTATGTATTTTACATCTTATGTTTTAGGATTGAGTTAAAAGTTTATGCATTTACATATGCAGAAAAAATGTATATTTATGTATATTTTTGCACATGTAGATTTCAGTTTAATAAAGTATCAGTGTATCACTTAAGCTTTGATTGATGTCATATGTTTACATAATATTGAAATCAATTTTTAGTTAAAAACCAAAATTTATAATCGACTTGAATTAACTTAGTCAAGTCAATTTTTTTTAGGTCAACTTAATTTACTATCTGTTATAACATACATATAGCTATATATATAGGTTGAATAAAGTCATATCGAAATATAGAATACCAAATAAATATTAGTACTATATCGAGAACTGATATTTCTCCAATATTAATAATTAAAAATTGGTAAAATATCAGTGTATTATCAGATTACTAATAACAATATTAGAATATACCAATATTTTCTGATATTAATAAAAAAAATCAGCAAAATATCGATAGCAATATTTAATACTTAGATATTTTTCATTTTTTTTATTAATACAGTAATATCAAAGAAATATCAGTTTCCTATACATAGCAAATAAGGATGGGCAATGTAATATTATGTAAACAATTGCTAAAATTTAACTCTTACATATCTTATATATAAATTATTACTGTTATATATTACGTATTAAGTAATTTATTATTAAGTAATTTAAGAGTTTTTGATTACAGATAAACTACTAAATTACAAATAAACTATAAGCTATATATATACAAAATTGTTTTGAGTTAAATAAAAAGATCGATTGCACCAAAATTAGCTAGTTTTGCTACATAAATTATGTTAATACCACCTACTTCTGCTGAAAGTGAAAAATTCTGATCATTTATTGCAAATATTTATTTACCACAGCGTAGCAAACTTAAAATGAATGTAATAAATATGCAACAATAATGGCATGCATTCAATTTCATAATGTACAAAAAAAAATTAATTCATATTATATTGTTCAAATAAAGAAAATAGGTTCAATCAATTGTTTAAACTAATATAGCTAATTCTAATAAAGCATGTCTTGAAATTATTGGATTAAATATTGGATTTGATAATATGGGAATAATAATAATTTTGAAGAATAATTTGAAGAAAATATAATATAGACAATTGAAAACATTGATAATTTTAATACTAATGATCAATATTATATATAAAGAAGCAGTAATTGAATCTTCTATTCAAGCTATATAGTATTCAAAAAAAACTTAAGAGGATGACATTCTTTGAACTTCATTTCTTTTGTTGATTTTTTTAATATATTATATTTTGTTTTTATAACTAACATATTAATATTATTTTTCTTTTTCTTTTAAATTCTAAGCTTCTTTTCTTATTATTTTAGTGTTTATATATAGATCTTTGGAATGGACCTTTGGTTTCGCTTTCTGGCGATTTTTTATATAAGTATCTTTTTTTTTAAGTATAATTAACATACTAACATGATTCTTCTTTTTCTTTTAGAATTTAGGCTTTTTTTCTTATTATTTTCAGCATTCTTATATAGATCTTTGAAATGGGTCTTTGGTTTCATTTTCTAATGTTTTTTCTTATATAAGTATTTTTTTTATTTTTTATTTTTTATTTTTTTTCTACTTAGGCCATCTTGCCTTTATCTTCTTTATTACTTATCGATTGTATGGTATTACAAAAGGCCTTAGCATAATATATAGGAGTGGCATCTCGCAGTTACTTCGAGAGCACTTACAAGCGATCGGCCGTACTGAGCAGATACATCTCTATGAATATATCGTGATAAGTGTCAAAATAGAAACACTATCTCTCTTAGACGAACACTATCAGACCACCGCCCTACAATAGGATATCGTCAATCTGATGACATCTTCTCGTAGGAAAGTAGAAAGAAAAAAAAATTTTTACTAACACTAACACTAATACAAAGGGGAGATACTAAAAAAAAAACGGAAACTAAAACTAAAAAACAAATACAAAGACGAAAGGGGGA